TTTTTGTAATTCCTTTATAATCGATTATTCCATTAACTAAAAAAAAACGAAAACAATTTATTGAAAATGTTCGATTAATCAAAAATAACAGATTAAATATAACGGATAAATCGATTTTCATGAAAACGATAAATCGATTAATTTTGTAACCCCTATCGGTCGCATGCTTTTATCTGAGCATTTAGCTCCAAAATTTAGAGATTCGGATTTATTGATCCTGTTATCTTTGAAACCGCATTTGATTGTATAATAAATATTGCTAGAATTTATTAGGCCCGTATTTATAAACAAAACTCAGCTGAGTCGGACTTGGGTAAGTCGTCCTTGAACGAAAATCGAAGTTCGGTTATATCGCGTAAATTTAGAGATGGGTAGTAACAAATCCGTAAATGAACATAACATATTCGCTAATAGCCATCTCTAAATTCCAGTGTAACACCGGAACCACCTCGAACTATAGAGACGTTGTAACCGAACTTCGATTTTAGTTCAAGGACGACTTACCCAAGTCCGACTCACGTAAGTTCTGTTTATAAATACGGGCCTTAGATTTTTTTGGTAAACGAAGATTTTTTTTTTCGAGTTGTTTAGGGGTTTATAATGCAACATTTTACTAATATGACTAATTTCCGTAACTTCAGTATTTTTTTGCTTATACTAGATCATATTGCGCGTTTTACTTTGTTTTAAGGGGCCTATTCAGTAACTCTGAACGACGTCGTTAATAGACGATAATCGTTCACAGACGACTTTTCTTATTCAGTAGACAACGATTGTCGTTGAAAATAGACAAATATGGTTGTAAAATTGTCGTTCATCAACGATAGCCAAAGAGCTGTCGTTAATAATATGAAGTGTCGTTATAGTGATTTTTGCATTCCCTCTCATTTTTCATTGTTTTAAATAATAATTAAAAGCATTTTTTTACAAATTTTACAACTAAATTGCTATCTACCTAATACAGCAAGTACAATTTGTAAGGAATTTTTTTCTAATTTATTTAATTATTTTAAAAATAAATCTGATTCAAAGTTAGGATTGCCTATTCAACCATTTACTATTCGATTCTTATTAACAGTGCTGTTCTTTGCGAAACAGTAACAGAACCTATATTATGGAAGTACCTATAATACTTCTCCGTAACCTACACAAATTTGGTTTGTCTTTCAAATCCAATAAATACAACTTGTACTGTTCTCGAGTTGTTTTTTGTATTCTTATGGAATAGTTCTCAGTTTTTTTTAATATATCCATACTCATTTAAATAAACCCTACATACAATACGACCAGCAAAAATGGCCCGCGAGAAACAGATTTACTACGAATCGAGAATCGACCCCCTGATGATCGTGTTGTAGGTTTAAAGAACAATAATTAATATATTCTGAAAAACAAATGAATATATCTACTAGTTCCAAAAAAATGTCAAATATACCGGGTGTTCAAAGAACAATAATTAATATATTCTGAAAAACAAATGAATATATCTACTAGTTCCAAAAAAATGTCAAATATACCGGGTGTTCAAATTAAAGGGTTACAGTTAAATACCGCCTTTTATAAAAAAAAACAGTTTTATAGTTTTTTGGGGAAAACATTTTGGCTAAAAATGTTTTTTTATAGCAAACCATAATATGGCCAACTTTTTTTCGCGCAGCAAAATTTTCAAGTAGGTGTTACTCAATAAAGTAGAAATCCAATAAAAAAAATGTTTCCTTTAGGGCCGATTTTAACACAACGGTGGAATCGGTCCTTAGAAGTTTCTTATTTTTTATGAACTCTAAAAATACCTATGTAAAAAAATAGGGTTCCAATTTGAAAAAAAATCCACCTCGATATGGCCATATTATGGTCAGCTATAAAAAAAATAATTTGGCCAAAATGTTTCCCCTAAAAAACTATAAAACTTCTGTTTGATACTTTTTATTTATAAAATTCATATTGTTGTCGATATTTAACTGTAAAACTTTAATTTAAACACCCGGTATAATCATCAACATACGTTCTTTTATCACAAAACACTAAATTATAATACCAACTTACTAGAAATCATCGTTCAGATTTGGTAACTAGAAACAACGTAACGACTTTGTTATTGAATAGAGTTTCAAAAATTATCGTTATAAAAGTCGTTGGTTGAACTGTCGTTAGCTTAACGATGTCGTTCATAAACGATAAATTACTGAATAGGGCCCTAAGACTTTTAGATTCAAATGTCACTTCCGATTTAACCGCAAATAAAATTAACCTTGAAATTTTAGGTAGGTGAACCTGTATTTCATCTAATATTCTTGTAAAAATACCTAATAAAGGGCTAAAAACCACCTTTAGTAAATATTCTTTTAAAACTACTTTTTAAAAACAAAATTTCGTTAGTAACAATGGGGTCTATTCTGTAACAATTCCTTTATACAGGGTCCGGCAGTGAAACGGAAAGATTTCGAAAATAATTTTATTGTTTAAGAATATTTTTTTAAATAATTTTTAATACATTAATGGAAAATAAGAAAGTAGCCATTTGGTTTACAATATGAAAAAAATTATTGTTTGAACACTACATCCATCAAATGTCCTCCGTTACAATTTATGCATTCTTGGAGTCGTGCCTGAAAGTTTTTCATAACTCTGCGCAGCATATCAACAGGTATTGTTGCAATTTCGTCACGAATCCGTTGTTTAAGAGCTGAGATTGTCCTGGGTGGATCATTTGCAAACACATTTGTCTTTAGGTATTCCCAAAGAAAGAAGTCGCAGGCGGTTAGGTCGGGAGACCGAGGGGGGCCAACTGATATCCCCGTTTCGAGAAACGATACGCCCTGGAAACAAAGCATTTACAGCATTCATTGAAATTCTTGCAGTTACTTGTTGCCCCGTCTTGTAGAAAATGTGTGTGTTCATCCACTGGAAAGCCTTCAAGGTGTAAGAAAATTCTGAATCATTGCAACGTATCGTACAGAATTAACGGTAACGGCATTTTCAGCCTCATTCTCAAAAAAATGTGGACGTTCGATATTTTCAGGGGTTCAAACTGTTTTGTCACTACCCCTCCTTTTTTTAGACGTCAGTCCTGTTTGTTCTAAGTTGTTTACCCATTTTTTATCGCTTTATTTGATGGAACAGTTTGGTTGCGTGGTATGTTTTGCACTAAACTCTCACCATTTTGAAAATAGGCTTTAACTGTGTAACCGCGATGCTTACCCGTCCAATGCTCTATGGTAAAATAAATGGTAAATCATGCAGGTCTTGGCGAGTCAGCTACTTTCTTCCCCACTACTTTGCGGCGCGTTGCAAACCATACCTCAAATCTTTCCGTTTCACTGCCGGACCCTGTATTTAACGGCCGTTAAAAATATTGGCGACCTTTAAAAATATGTTTGTATTCGTTAATTTACTTCTGTCATTATTTAAACAGATTTCTTTAAGATAGTCCTCTAATGTATTTTAAAGATCCGTTTAAATAATGACAGAAGTAAATATTTTTAAAGGCCGTTAAATATAAAGGAATTGTTACAGAATAGACCCCATTATTTGTATATACAATTTTTCACCATACCTGCATTGTGGCATTTTCAACTTGAAATTGAACAACTAAAATACTTTAAATTGCTAATAATACCAACAAATAATTCAAAAAACGGCGGTCCATAAATGATTTACTCACGCGGAGACAAGCATAGAATAGAAATTTCGGAGCAATTCGGGTGGCGTCGTGAACACAATGATTTTTAATTGGTGGGTTATTTAGGGTTGGAATAGACAAAGTGTGCGATGTGCAATGTTACATCTCCGGTCTCTTTTATCTAAGATAGCAGCCTTCCCTATCGTGTCGTCGTGCTGACAGCATATAGATTCGTCAATATATAATCAAATGTATCCTTACTCATTCGAAAATAATTAAAAAACTTGTTCGGGGCCTCAACTAACTTTTCAAACAATGTATAGAAGGTGCCCTCCAGATACCTAGTTTTGATAATAGGATGCACCCAAAACCGTCTTCGGTTTCTCTTTGGCCTTAAGTACAATAAATATAGCAAATATAAATTGTTACCTGCTGGCATTATTATTTTTCTTCATAGAATATTACTTTTTATCAACCACCATAAAAAAAATCCGGCGATATCTCGGGACTGTATTGTCGAATAAATGTTTTGGTATGAAAGATCAATAGCCGATATCGTGTCGGTGTTGCTGTCGTGCCGGTGTCGTGTCGGTATCGTATCGTTAGGTCTGAAAACGCTCATTGTCAGCGGAGCAATAACTCTTTACTCAAAAAAAAAAATCATTTATAATTGGGCTTTTTTTTTCTCAATTTTTCTTTGGTTTGTTTTAATTTTGGGGATATGAGAGTGTAATTTTCATAATTTCGTAGAATGAATTGGGGATTTTCCAATATTGCATTCAGTTTTTCCAATCTCAACTAATTATTCTCACTTCACTCTACTTTCATTATATATTTAATTGTTTAAACTATAATTTTGATTGCTTTTAAAATTGCATTATTAATTTTGGCATCATCATCTATTCCAATTTTAACGTCTTCAAATTCATTAAAAAATTAAATTAAATGCCATTAAAGTCTCACCTTTAGGAATGTAAAGTAGGTATATCAAATAAAACGAAAAATACTTTCATTAATGTTTTATTACATATAATAATATGTACATATTTACAAAACTGTTGTGTACCCACATCTTGCAAGATCCATTGTCACTAAAACATGACAAAATATTTAATATACAATCGAAAATATATACCAAACCTGTTGAGACCATGTAACACTTAAACGACTGAAGTATCTTTTCGACATAACCAAAATAAAAACACCATCCAGAGATCCGAAGATCCAATACAAAAACAAAACGGTAAATTTTCTTGGCCCATCAGGCTCGAATCCTAATAATTTTAATTAATGTACTTGGATGAGTATCAAATTTGAGAAAAATTTAAACGGGAGCGATAACAAAACTTCGCTTAAAGATCCAACGGGAAGACGGGAAGATCTAAATATTAGGGAGAACACCCATACTACTCTTACAATCGATCATAGTCCTTTGAGAATCGACGAAAGTTAAAGAAAACTGGTTTAAAAATTCGAAACACTCTTCTGCCGAACGGAAGGCCAGCTCTTGCATCATGAAGGTCATAGAAACGGTCTGACGATAGCTAAACATAAAAATAAATGTTAGTAAATTTGACAAAGCATTGTTACAAGGATGTAAATATTGATACTGTTTCAAATAATTTAGATGCTGGCTAATAGTTAATTTTTACTGAAATATTTTAAAACACACGAAACCTCAAAAGGCCCCATTTAATAACTACAAAAAGTGGCTAGAAAAAAAAGGACTAATCGTTCTGCAAACAAAAGATAAAGGCGTCAAGGTCAAACAGAACACAAGCGTCGTGTTGCCAATGAACCCAAGTAACATTTTTAAGAGAATAAAGTTTTATTTATGTTTTATTAGAATTTTATAAAAGCATAAAAATTAACAATTATTTTATTAGTTATTTTTTTTTTGCTAATAGGACTGCAGGATAAATTGATCTTATTACTTGGTTTTATAGATTTCTTTAAATCTGTTTAAGAAAACTAGTTTATCCTAAAATAAACTATGCTTTATCGCTGTCCTGTAAGGGTTAATTAATAAGTAATTTTAAAACTATTTATTTTTAAGATACTCCTAAGGTGTGTTTGGTGTTAAAGAGGCATACTTTTTAGCAGTTATCTTAAGTAGGTTTTAAAACTTAGTTTTAAAATGTGTTTTAGGATTATACTTTAAATTAAATTGATCCCAGAACCTTTTAGGTACATTTTTTACAATTTTACAACATAACTCTTATAATTTATTTAATCTAGTAAACCATAGAGCTCTTTTAAAACTACATAGTTTTAATAAGAGTTAAAGTTTGTTTTAGAGCATAACTTAGCTTTTCAATCCAATCACATTATGTTGACGTTGAACGATAAATGATTAAAAATAAAGAAAAGTGGTAATTTCCATAGAGAATGAAAAAAAATGTATGTTTCTCCTTTTCCTCAATGTTTAATAAGTTTATTGTGTTCCATTGTTTAACAAATATCAAAACATTCCTAGGCTCCTAATATTCTGGAAATGATCAGTGAAAGAGAAAAATGGTTAATATTTTATTACTAATTTTTATATTTTGAATGACTTGTTCGCAGAGTAAATAAGAAACTCAAGATTGAGGTTAGGTTATGCCCGTCTGATTGAACTTATGAATGTTTTATTGAGGTTTTCGTTTTTACTATTGTTTTATGAAACGCTTTAAAAAGTGTAGCAGGAGCTTTTTAAAACTGGAAAGTCCTTAAAAGTATTTTTTTTGCTTTATTACTTTTATAGAAATATTTCTTTTTATTGAAAAAATTTAAAATAGGGTTTCCAAAATCACTTAAAAAATCATATCTTAAGAACGGATAGACATAATTTAACGAAACTTGCACCGAAGGTGCGGACCCACGAGACGCTTCTAAAAAAAAATCGGCGTCCAAATCTGTTGGACGTTTTCTGTGAAAACCTCGAAAAATCGCACGGAAATCGCCCAAACATCCTATAAATCCCTTTTCCGAGATTTCAGTGCACTATGGAAGTGAGTATGCATAAGCGGCAGACTCTCAAGACATCGTAGGTGACTGATAAGGTTTTTTTCGTATCCCGTCAACTGTCACTTTTTATGACGTTATGAAAATTTCTTTATCCTTTTTTGACGGTTTATTCCAAATGAATTATTTTTTTTTTTTAATACCCTTTGTCACTCTTTAACTCACCACGCACACGGATTTTTTGTCGGGCGCCATTTTTTTTTTCGGACAAATTTGTTAGAGAGATTTCCGGACGAAACATCATGTCAGCGTCCCCGAAGGGGTCAATCACCCTTTATATGTTTTCATCATATCCGCGACCTCTACTAATTCTATCGAAATATTTCCCTTTACCTCTTCTTTTTTTTAGAGAGGAAGTAACAGGTGTTTTACGACTTTTACTTCCTCTAAATGATCAAGTTTGGTCCGTTTTTAGGTACAGATAGAACACAATGTGGAAATCCTCCATTTTAAATATGGCAGTGGTTGTTTAACCACATATCATGTAAAATAGTACCTGTCTACTAGACCTGTACCTAAAGAATATTCAAATTATGGTCAAAGTAATGACGTATTTTGTGTACCAAAGACAGTGATAGTGTGTCAATGACAACAGTGTGCCAATGACAACATTGTGCCAAGACAGTAACTTTATTATTTATGATTGAGTTTACTGCGTTTAAGCACAAAATGTCAAATTTGTCAAACATATCTACAGCTAATTCCTTTGAGGGTATATAAATGTAATTTATATTGGAAAATACTATGTTGTAAAGTTATTCAACTCTTGCCACGCCTAAAGTAATTTATGGTTAAACACAAAGTTTGTTTCTGATAGTCGAGTAGGTAGTATGCGCAATTGAAAATGGTTTTCTGACGATGACAAGTATCCTTCCAAACACAAATCTACAATAGGATTTATATTGGCGGTTAAATAGTCACTTCCATGAAATAATTTGTAAAATACAAAATGTGATATTTTATATGAAAAACATATCGAAGACAAATGTAATCATTTTATAATGCTATATATTCGATATTTACAATGTTATTTTCTATTAAATAACTTTCGGTAAATAGATTAGAATCCGTATAATAATCCTTTTTCACGTATATTTCATATATTATAAGGTCCATCATTTATTACGACCCACCTTGTCCACTTTTAACAGTACTTTGGTGTGTGTTTTAAAATTGAAGAAATAAGTGTAACTAATCAAATTAAACATACACTATATAATAATTAATTTCTAATATGGCAGTCTTCCCAACATGTTTACAAAATCATTCTGTCAGAGAGTATGATAAAACAGAATAAAGCTAAAACAGTTTAAAATTTAATTCTCTTAAAACTGAATAGTTTTGTAAAGTTTTTATGCCTATCCCACTTATTATCATTATCTTAAAAAAGATTTAAAAATGGTTTAATAGAATTCTTAATATACTCTTACGGACTTTGTCTTGTCTAATTAGTCTTAAGATATTGTTTTAAAAATACTTCTAAGAACCATCATAGGATTCTCCCTTTTACTCTTAAAGCAGATTTATAGCAGCCCTAAGGCTATCTCGCGGATTCAAAAGTTTTATCAGTGTCTTAAAAAAAGGTTTTATGGTTACCTTGTATACTTTGATAAATCTAAAAATGTTACTTGGGAAAGAATATTTCTATTTTCGGAGAATTTGAAGTTCTAAGAATGTTGTACAGAATATCAATTTTTCAAACATTTCAAATTCAAGCGTCTTTCGGTGGGTTCAGTTAGTCTGGATTTGGAGCGGGCATCCTCAGTTTTTTAGAGTGTTTTTAACTGTCGCTTAAACGTGTTGAACTGTCACAAATTGGAATAAACGAACACTAAAAGGGTCGATTGGAGTTAGAGTGAATGGACCTTGAGTAAACAAAAGCAGCTTTTAACTGAACTTAAATTGCTGTATACGGCTCGGTGTTAAATGTTTGACTGTATCTGTAACGTGTGGAGGGTGGGTGGATTACCTCCACGGCACTTAAGCCTCACTAGACCCATTGTGCATCGTCCTAAGATGATTTGACTGGTGACTAATTAATTTTCCTTTTATAATTTAAAAAATGCTATTAATTCCCTAATTACTGGATCCTGCTCCATGTGACTTTTTTTTTTAATAAACAAAATCAAACTAGCACCGAAAGGAACCAGATTTGAGACAGTAGAACCGTCAAACGGGCAAAGATTTAAAAAAAAAATGGTGCTATGGTCAATGGAAACTTTTCGAATGGAGCAGTGTAGAAATCGTGAAGGGAAGTATATGGAAGGAGTTAATATTAAAATTGTGAGAGAAAAGTAAAACATTTTATAGCACTATTAGGTATATGCAAATGTTTTTCTAGCCACACCTTGAAATATATAATCGGGTAGCCAACAAGTACCGTTATTAGCATTGTCAAATATTGTTTACAATTTTGGTATGTATGCATTCTTTTTTTTATGATGGCGCAATTTGCTAACATTAAACTAACTGATATGGTTTTATTTTATAACGCTGCTGCAGAAAATACTCTTTAAGGCGAACGATTTTCTGTGACTGTCTTTCATTATAAATTATTTTTACTTTGTCATAATTAAACATTTTTGTTTACTACGAATTTATCTGAAAGAGTTTGGAATTCAAACGTTATATAATTAAAATAAGCACAGCTGTCATTTGAAACAGTTACCACCAAAAAATTATAGACTTCTTGGGTCTGAATTCACTCAGTGCCAGTGAACGTGTAGAAGAAAACATTTTAAAAGTTAAAGGTAAAATGTACCAGGTGGCCAAATAAGAGTCGCACAGCTTTCGGGTTGAGTTGTCACACAGCACCCTCTATTTGTTAAAGTGAAACTGATACAAACACACTGGTATGTGTTATAAACAAGACAAGCCGTTTTTTAAACGATATCGAGTTTGTTAAATTGAGTTAGCCCAAGAGTTATCAACATTAACAGCCATTTGCATTGCTTGCAAGTAAAATTGCTTTAATTTGTTTTGCACGTCTACGCAATAGTGTATTTTCGATTAGCTGTTGTAATTTTTCTTACAATTGAGGGATCCAATGTAAAGTCCGTATTTTACCGAAATTGAGATATATAATTATTCTTGCTCAGTATGAAATCCTACACCGTCCTGTGCAAGAACCGGGCCCAAATTCATATAAATGACAAAGTTATAGGTGTATTGTTGGTTGCCTGCCTGTCGGTCCCGTGCAAAAACCGGGTTAGTCACGGACTTGCCTGGTTATTGCAAAGTGTTGTCATTGTGGACGTTTATTGTTGTGAAGGTTTTTTGTGATGTTTTAAATAAAAAAACTTGGTAAAAAATCGAAAAAAATGTCGTCGGATGATGATATCTCTGATACAGACCCATACGATACTGATAGCTACAAAGAATATATACCAGAAAACGATATTAAGTCAAAATTTGTTAAAAAAAGTCAAACATAACCTATGAAATTCGAAGAAATTAGATTACTCATCAGATTCCAGTAGTTCAGCCGATAATAATGAACTTATTTTGAACCAACCCAGCACTTCAGGCCTTTGCCAACAAG